GCTGTACATACAGAAAAAATGATAGCCAGTAGCACATATATGCATTCCAAATGTAGCAACTTAAAGAGAATTTTATACTGCATGACCTTACTTTTCCTGCTTGCAACAGACTCCCTCCTATCAGACCATGAATTCCTTGCCCTGAATCAGTAGGCTGCAGAACAGAAAAGCAACACATTTTCTGTAGTTAACACCTGTGTTCAAAGCCAGGCAAAACCAAACCTAATGCAACCATCCAGTTCTTCAGAAGCAAAGCCACAGGTGATTTTGCTTCCTCTTCCTTTCCTTCTTCATTAAAATCTGGTTTCACAGGGCACAAAGCCTGACTGAGCTGCAGAGCAGAAGTTTTGAAGAACATCCTGGCTGGAGGCCACTTTATGTCTGTTTCAGGTTGGTTTTGTTTTAAGATAGAGAGGGAAATGTACCTCATTATATATTGGTGTTTCTTCCAATATGTATTAAAATTAAGAACAAGTCAAGAAATGCAGAATTTCTTCAGTCAGGTGCTACAGACTTCCCTAGCTGGGAGTACAGCCAGGGTTCAACATAGCTGGAGCATCCGTGTGTCAAGGTCATGAAAATAAGAGGCATTGATCAATTTGCTGTTAGTATGTACTATTAATTATAAGGTGTTTCTGGAGCTGATTTTTATGTTAGTCATGCAATTCTGCTACTGCAGTTGTAATTCTACATTGTAAGCATCAGAGTCTAAACCTGGGATGGTGGAAGAAATTTTTGCTTCTGAGATTTGTTCAGCCATTACCTTTTGTTGTGCATTGCAAGTTCTCACCTTCCTCACTTCAGTCACAATCCCAGATTGCAAGCTGGTGTGCTTAAGTGTTTTATTGTAATAGTTTTATTTAAGGCTGTTACTATCTTCTCAGTGTTTCGTTGAGAAGGAAATTGTGTTTATCATTCAGGAACTGTGGCCATAACCAGGAGATCTGCATTCATTTCATGGTGTTTCTCCAGATTCTTTACCTTGGGCCTCAACCACGCAGGGTCTGAGTGTCTTGGGTTAAAGCCAGTTGGAGGGTGGTATGATCAGTATCATGGACTGTGGAGGACAGTATGGGGTTTATCTTCTCTAATCTATTATCTCTTCTTATCTCTTGCTTCATTTATAAAATATGGACTGTGTTGTAAAAGTTCCTTTCAGTGCAGCTTTAGGGTTGTTTGAGCAGCTTTGGTCCCCACCATCTTCTGTTGAAACCTTCATACCTTCTGGGCTTGATCCAAAATCTGATCAGGACAAGTAAGGCCAAACTCAGGCTTTAGGGAGAGTTTATGCTATGTAAGAAGATGGCAAAAATATCCTCAGATTGCCTCAGAGCTAACCAGCAGCTGTAGTTGGACATCATGCCCCACTGTGCTTGCAGCATAAGCAGGCTCCCAGGCTGAGGGCATGACATTTATCCTGTGCAATTCTCACCATCTCTTCTTTTTCGGCTCCAAGGGCCAGGAATGCAGATTTTAATCCCACACCACATTTTGTATCAGTAGGTGCCTCTTGTCTGATGCTGCCTTCTGACAAAATAGCTCCTGCATCCATTTCAGCTGTTTCTGCAGAGCAGCCTACCCAGCAGGGAGGACTCTCAGACAGGCTGGTGTGTGTGGAGAGCCCACAGCACTCACCTGAAGCAAGATTGTCCACTTCAGTGCAGTGTACTACAATGGCACCCACTTCCCTGCCAGGCTGCCAAACGGTCTTTACCATGGTGGCCTCCATCCCTAGACCTTTGGTAGAGTCTGCACATCAGGACAGTATTCCAGGAGGCAAGAGGCAGCCTGAGTTGCTGTGCCCTGTAATGGCAGCGAGAAGATCAATTGTTAGTGTGTGTATTACAGCCATTATCTCATCTGTCTAGCCTTCAGTAAATACCCTGTGTGTTACACAGTCACTTGGCCTCCTGGCTTTACAGAATCCCCCAGCTGCCCAGCAAACCCCACAGCTGCCAGCTAGGAGTGGCCGGCAGCTGTCCATGAGTACATCTGGATTTTGTTTTTCAAAGGTTAATTCCACCCCACACCCCCAAACTCAGGACAGGGAGACGCCAAGCAAAGGGGAAGGAGGCAGTGGACAGAGAGCTCAGCCTTGTCTCATTGGGCTGATACATGCACTCCCTCTGCCCCACCTGATCTGCTGATGCAGAAATCAAATTGTCATTGGCAACAGCCCATGTTGGCCTGAAAACCACAGATTAGTTTCTGAGAAAGCCTGACGTAACTTTTCATTCGCATTACCAAGTCTAGAGGGAAGACACCCCCCATAACGCCTCTTCCCTCCCCTTGGTTCAAGGATTTCAGTTTCCATGTAGTAGGTGGTAATGGTGGATGTGATACACGTGCTTGAATGGACGTGTTCATATGTGAGCCAGGGAAGAGCTGGTCTCCTCTCCAGGATGCTTCATCCTCATTTCTCTGTTGAGATTGTGCATATGCATAGCACTGACTTTTCCGAGACGCTGAACCAATGGGAGCTGTAAAGCCTCCCTCAGCTTGCATTTCAGCCCATGTGTACATTGGTTGCCACTGAATATTGCATCAGAAAAGTATTCAATGATAGGGAAATAAAGAATACCCTTTCTCTGATATGAGCAATGTATTCTCAAGAGATCCAATGTGCTACCTTTGCTTAAGCTAAACAGTGTTGTGTTATCAAAGGCTGAATACTGATTTTTGCCAAACTGGTTTCAGTCCAGCCTTTCTCTATTGGCTTCAGGGAATGCAATCTGGATTTGTCCCATTGACTGAGAGTTTCAAAGCAGTGATGGCTTCACACTTCCAAAGCTATTATATTTAATCTCATCAATATCAACTGAACACACAAGCAACGTAGGAACATGAAGAAACAGGGAAAGCCTGCCCTGAAAGCCCAGCAAGACCTACCCTTGTCTGACCAGGACATATAAATCACTTTCTTTTCCAGCTCATTTAACCTTGGCTAGTGGCTTTATGCCTCAGTTTGCTCCATTTCCAAAAATGTGTCCAGTTCCTCTCTTGATGCATGGCTCTTTTCTATTGCTGACTCTGTCAACTGGGTAATATCTCAGCCCCTCCTAATTGTGTAATTCTGCCTCACTTAAAATATACTATTCCCCTTTTGCTTTCAAATTAGTTATCTCAGAACTGCCACTGGCACTGTGAGGTCCCTTTAGCTTTCTGGTCTCTGTGTGCCTTTCCTAGCAGAACTCTGACTTTTTACTACTTTATATCTCTTTCACACTCCCCAGCATCACATATGCAGCTGCTGTTAAAGTCCACAAGAAACAAATGCAAAAGAGAAGGAGAGACCCAGCTGCTCTTTTATGTGAAAAACTCAGAGCTCAGTTCAGTGAGTGGTGCCAGCACCAAAGGAAGCTGCAGAGATGACTATGGCTCAGCCGCACAGGTTGGTGCATGCTGTGGGTGTGAGCCACCCATGGGCTCCTGCAGCTCATATACCTGCTATGGTTGAGGTTTGGGACTGAAATGTGGCAGAAGCTTTTACACTGCTGTCACATTCTTCCCAGCTCCGAGCTGGAGCTCAAAAGTGTCCAAACTACATTTTATGGAAACAGCAGGAGGGTGAGCAACGGAGAAAAGGGACTTCTGAGGCAGGCTGATGGCATTGACACTAACAACAGCTCCTTCGAGCTAGGCTGGTCTAGGGATATGAATGTTTCACTATAAACTCTTAAAGAGAATAATTACCATTAAACCAGCCAGATTGTTGAAAATTAAATCCATGTGCTATGTATAGTATAGTGATGGTACCTCCAGAAGGAGATAACCTACGTCATGCTGAGCCTCAGGTCTGCTGAGAGTGGGACATGATGCTGCTGTATAGTCTCTGCATGTGCATGGGGGAGGGCAGAGCAATGCATTCCTCCTGGTGTTTTTCCTTGCATAGGAAGTGTGAGAAGATGCAATGATTAGTGCTAATGTGTTTTAAATGGAGCCCAATGTACCTTAGGTGATCAGTGCACATATTCCAGCACAGTGGGCTGTGTGGAGTAGATGGCATCATGTAGAGTGCAATTATGCAGATCTGTAGTGTTTCCATAATGTATTGCTGTTCTAGAAGACATTGTATAAATCTCTGGGTTTGCTGAAAGAATGTCCATTTTTGCTGTCACCGCCAGCTTGCCAGGCTGTTCTCTTATCTGCTCAAAGCTTGTTAGGGCTCTGGAGTGCTGTGCATGGAAATCTCTTGGTGAGATGTGTGTTGTGAATTACAGCCCTGACAACTATCAGAGGGGCCATGCTGAGGTATAGCATTAATATTTATATGGGAACAGATGTCTTGGCTATTAGCAAACCTTGTTGTATTAGATGTTGGGGGAAAAAGCTGGTTCTTGCCCCTAGGAACTCACAGTCTCTATAATGACTACTAAAAATATTGAATATAATTTTAAAACCATGAATGATTTAAAGGAATAGGTAGAATGAAAGTGTGGGTGGAGGGGAATGCTGTAATAACATTTTTCACAGAATCACAGAATGGTTGAGGCTGGAGGAAACCACTGGAGTTCATCTAGTCCAACCTCCCTGCTTAGGCAATGTCACCTACAGCACATTGATCAGGGCTGCGTCCAGCTGGCTCTTGCATATCTCTGGGGAAGGAGACTCCAATACTCAAGTCACCCTCACAGTAAAGAAGTTCTTCTTTGTGTTCAGGTTGAGCTTCCCGTGTTTTAGTTTGTGGCTGTTGCCTCTCATCCTATCTCCTGGCACCGCCAGGAAGGGTCTGACCTCAACCTCTCGACACCCTCCTTTCAGATACATATTGTTCAGATCCCCCCAAGCCTTCTCTTCTCCAAGCTGAACAGGCCCAGCTCCCTCAGCCTTTACTCACAAGAGAGATGCTGCAGACCCTTAATCATTGTAGAAGCCCTTCAATGGACTTACTCCGGGAACTCCATGTCTCCCTTGTGCTAGGGTGCCAGAACTGAGTGAAACATTTCCAGCCAGTGGCTGATTTACATATTTGCATTAGCTGGGTTTTAAGTATCCTTTTTTATTCCAACATTTTACACAGATAAATTTTAGCTGTGAAATAATCTTTTTTTGTTTATATGGTGATACAGAGGTTAAGTAAGAATCCTTAAAACATTTTCCTGCTCTGCAGAGGCACAGGGATGTAGCAACACCATATTTAAAAATATTCATTCCCCTTCCTGGCAATATTTCTAATTCCAGTGGAGCGCGACAACATCTTCTGCTTTGATAATGTCATGCACGAGTGTGCCTGCTGTTAGTTGCAGGACAATGACTTCACACCAGACACAAATGGGCAAGAACTGGCAAAGCCAAAATAAAACTCTGTTTATGTTGATAATATCTTTCCTCTATGCTTTGCGTGCTCCTTCTAGTGGAAGAGCTCACTCCAGCCCCGGACCAGTTTGCAGCTGATCATCTGCTCGGGATGGTTTTGAAGTCATGATATACTGCAGGGTTAGAATACAAACGGATTCTCCCAGTGCCATTTGCAGAGGTGAGCAATTCCTGGCTTGGCAGAAGTTTCATACTCCAGAAGTGCTGTGAGGGCTCCTGTGCTGAGTCCTTGTGATGAGTATCCAAGGGTTAAGCTACGCATTTTTCTACATGCTGTCTTTTCTTTGTGTGTGCAGCAAGATGAAGCTTGCCTCACTATTTGCTTTTCTAAATTAAGGTATCTTATGGCAGGACACCACTCAGGAGCTCACAAGAACATCACTTGAAATGATACGCACCTACTGGCTGTGAGAAGCCAGAGAGTGACGGGCGTTAAACATGCTCCCTGCAGATATGTGGAAGTGGTCTTTACACCTCAGTAGCAGCACAGGGGAATATGGAGGTGCTTACAAGGATTCTGCCCAGAGTTTATCAGCCTATGAACAATAGACTTCAACTTCAGAAGCCAGACAAAAAATTAACTTTTTATAATGAGTATCCCTGGAGCATGTGGATGGGGAAAAAATTGGCCAGAGCTCATGAGACTCAATCCTTCACTCTGATTACTGGTGAAGAAAGTAAGAAAAATCGTATCACCTTCCCTGACCTCCTCCCTTTCCACTGGGAATGAGGGGTGAGAGGAATAACAGCCTTCCTTTGATTCACCGGATTAGTCCATCTTCACCAGGAGATGGAAAGTGCTGTTCCAAAGCTTGTAGCCCTACTAAGGAAACTTGGTATTTTTTCCCCAGGCAGAGCAGCAGTGGGCTCTGCATGTCAAAGTTGATGACAATCCAACAGAAAGCATAGAGAGCAGAGGCTTGACATTGCCATGGGTGCAAGAGCTGTTCTTTGAACCTGCTGCGCTGATGGGAACAGCTTTCTTGGAGAGGTGATTCATCACTGGGGAACTCCAGGATGAAGTATGGACACCGCCTTCCCAAAAGGGACAGCTGTGATCTCTTATACAGGCTCCTCCCCAACTGTCCTAGCACTGAGAATGACTTGCTTCTTCTGGGAATGAGCCACGTGGGGCAGACCTTGGGAACTCATCTTCTCACTGTCAGTTCTGAATTAGTAAGACTGGGCCACTACATGTCATGTACCCTCAGAACAGGGTCTTTGCCAATAAGGGCTTGCAGACAGTTTAATGGGTCTTTCTCAGGAGCCAAAAAGAAGGATTGCATGGGGATTTCTGGAAAAAGACTGCAGCTTTTGTCTTTTTCGCCCTTTGCAGAGATCAATGTACATTTAATCCACCTCACTCAGGAGTGTTACACACTTTGAAGCCTAACCTTGGTTACATAAGGTGACAGCATCAGAAAATTGCTCCACCACTTTTCATCAACAGTTCAGCTACAAATAAGCCAAAATTAATACTACTACTAATAATAATAATGTTGGGGAAATTCAAATAATCCACAGAGGTTTTTGGGGAATACGGATGAACCTCAGAGAGGGGTACCAGCCCTGAACAGAGAACTGCAAAAATGAGGGTCAAAAAGAACTGGTGATGGTGAGGAAACTTGAGACACTACGTGTATCCTGGAACCAAAAGGTTTTGAGAGTCTGTAGCATGGAAGAGTTAACTTTCAAGTGATGGACAGTCCCAGTAGGTGACCTTGAGCTTTTGGCATCTTCTTCATCAGCTGTGGTGAAATTTGAAGAAAGGAGGAAAATTCAGGGTGGAAAATTCAGATGAATGCCTTGGAGAGTCATAGATCCAGCATGAAGAGGGTGAAGAGTATCTGGAGGGCATATAAATAAGAGATCAGAAAGAATAAGTCTTGAGAGAGCACAAGGATTAGGGGAAGCACAAGGACTGTTGAAGGATACAACCCAGGGCTTCTTGCAGGGCTCTAAGTACATAAAAACATACTTGGCTCCAGAAATTTCTAATCTGGAGATGGCTGGCGGCTGGGAGAGCACTCAGGGGAAATATTGTATGTGCTCACCCTGCACTCATACTTTTCCCCAGGCATTTTGCTTTTGCCCACTGTTGGAGACAGGAGCTAGAAAGACCTTTGGCCTGGCCCAGTGTCACTGCTCCTCTGTTCTTGTGCTCGTGTTGTGAAAGACTTGGAGCCCTTGTGGTCTTGCTCTCTTTAGCACAAGCTGCGGGACAAACCGCGCTTATCACCGGTCATTGCTGAGTCAGGCACAGAAGTGATCTTGCTGACATTCCTCACCGCTTTGAGCACGACATGCTGAACATATTGGGAGGGATGACTCTGTGTTTCCCAAAAACAGCTGGGCTCTTCCCCAGGGTGACTCTTATGTAGGTACAGCAAACTGCTGCAAATTCCCGCGGCAGGGCAGCTCCAGCTCCAGGCTATGGAAGGGTGGCAGCAGCAGCTTTCCTACAACAGCTTCCTGTCGCTGTTTTGGTTTAGCGGCCAGGCTGTTGAGTTGCTGGGGCTGCCTGAGGAGCCTCTCCTGGGGCATTCCTCTCACCTCCGGCCTACTGTGGCCCACCAGCTTCCATGCTTGGGGCTGTTGCTCACAATGTGCTTGGGAAGCTGCATTTGTCCCCTGAGGGGGTGTAGGGGTTGGTGTCTCTGTCTCATCAGTGGGTGACAGGACAGCTGCCTTAGCCTCCTTTCTGGACCTTTTGGCTGCCTCACTACTCCCTCACTTCTTGATATTCCCAACTCTCTTGAGGTTGTCATCATCTCCCATGAGTAGTGCTGTCCTTTTTTGTCTATCAGAGCTGTCATTACCAGGAGGGGTATCCATTTTTCCAAGAATACTGTGGCACTTTAAAAAATGAGTATCTCGCAAGAAGGTGAAGATATTGTTATAATCTCCTGATAGATGCACTCACCTTCTTTTTCCTTTCTCTGCTTTTCTTTGTTTATTCATTCACATGGTAAGAACGACAACATTTCTCTTTACTAACAGGTAGGAAGAAAGGGAATCTGCTTCCGCAATAAATTGGAGGACAAAGAGGATCAGAGCAATGTTTACACACATACAGTCATTTCTTGCTCAGTGTATGTATACATATGCACTTCAGCTATGTGTGTCAACAGTACATTTTTTCTAAGGTAAATGTTTTTCTCCACAAAGCCCAAATCCCACTTAGGGGAGAAACAGCCTTGCCAATAACTGGATTCAATTTATAAGAAACTAGGTGGAAATAATGATGAGGAAATGAGAAAAATAAGCTTTTGATGAAATAATTAATGACTAGTTGTGACACAATCTCACAGCAACAATCCAAGGCTCAGGGAGATCAGAGGAGACCATCTACTGCCAAACAATGCTTGCCATGCAAAGCCAAGTAGCCTCCTGTTTGCAATTTAAAATCATAACCATACACATGAACTGCAGTTAGGGGCGGTTTGTTTGTTTTAAGTTCTCTCCTAACAAAGTTACAGCACCCTCTTCACGTTGCATCTGAAAGGGGAATGGACCAGCGGGTTCCAAGCACTTATGTAGCGTGTAAGACAGGTCCAGCTTTACAGCAGCTAAAGCCAGGAAATGAATGCTTCAACATGTGTGAATTATTCTACTGCCACCAAACTGAGCAGAGCTCTGCTTCTCACAGATCTGGTCCCAAAAACTGAATGCAGTGACTCTTAGCTGGCAAATCTGAAGAGTCTACAAAAGGTGCAATGGAAAAGCAAAGCTTTTGTCAGCAGGCTTGTGTTTGCTGTCACAAAGTCCTCACCCCCATCAGCCATGTTTTTATGAACCCAAAAGTGGACAATGTTGAAAGACTCAAATTGAGCCTTCTGCTAAAATATTCTGCTCTTGGAGCTGACATTCCTGGTGTTCACCAAGCAGAGGTGTGGATGGACCTGTGACAGTGGGTTGGTTCAGCTCAGGAGTCCCATTTGAAGGCAAATTCACCATCATGTCCACTCCTTCATTTCTGCTTGCACTGCAGCCTGGTGGCAGTTGTGCAAACTGGATCACTCTGCCTGAAAGCAAATGGGCAGAGATGCTCCAGAACTGCAACAGATGGGCTCTGACTGCCAGTGGGATTGTTCAGTCCATACAGCCAGGATACAGCTAGTCTGAAACCCTTGAAATCACTGCTAGACAGGCATAAGGATGGCCCCACCATGTTTTTGCAAGGCATTAACTGTAAATGCCAACAGAGCCACTGTGCTGCACTCTGCTCCTGAGTCAAAAACAGGCTGATTGCAGAGGTGCAGAGCCGCTGTCTCTCTGCTCAGCTCTGAGGCTAGCTCTTTCCACTGGCCTGCTCTGTGCATCCACCATCCCAAGCAGATTAGTGAGGGAAGGCATGATGGGACACAGTCCACTCCTAATCGCTTCCAGAAGTCCTGTTTCTAGCTTGGTCAAGGCACTGCTGAGTCATTTTCATGCAGAATGAGTTATGGCTGTGTTTAAAACCTCTTTATTACCCTTCAGTAATCCAGAGCTCAATCTTGCACTTTTAATGTTCCTCTTCTAAAGGGCAGATTTATATGTGAAACACTTTACACTTTGGTTTCCTCCTAAATAATAACTAACGTTGCTCTTCTGAGTGCTTTATGACATTAGCTAACTAGTCCTGACAACACCCTGGGTTTCCATATGCACAGCAGAAAGCTTGGATGAGATCCTTAAGTCTGGTGTTTTTAATTCTCCTGATTTTATTGTGAGTCTAGGGTGGGCTTTTTCTTCAAGCCTCTGCTCCTGGAGGCACACAGTCACATGACTCTATCACTTTTCTTTTTATTTTAACAGTAAATTTCTAATTCTTCAATTTGCAGGGGAAAGCCTGACAATGTCATCCAAATGCACTGCAAGGCTCAGAAAACAGATGCCAAGCAACAGAAGCCAAACTGTGCAGCCATTTTTAAATCTCAGAAGTTTTAAGGCAATCAAAATATTCTCAGGGCCTTCACCCATGTTTTCTGAGTGTGGAGGGGCTTGGCAGTAAATAAAGCTTCACATTACAAAGAGGCAAAAGTAAATAAAGTCTTCAGGGATGCTAATATTCTCCATCTCCCCTCTCTTGCTTGTTTCTGATTCTCGTCCTGCACATGCTTTGCTTTCCACATTGTGAGTAGTCACGTTCCTCACAGTGGTAAAGAAAGCACACAAACAAATCTTTGTTGGAAGACAGCAAATTTTAAATCAAATCAAAATTTTACAAATAAGATCAAGGTTTTAAACTCTTCTATCTGTTACTGTGTGCCTGTAGAGTGCGATGTGCAGCAGGCCAGGGCATACAATTTGTGACTGGCAAGGCTGTTGTAACACCAACCATTGCTGCTGCTGCTGCTGCTACTACTAGTAATAAAATAGAATCGTTAATTGCAAAGTAGAATTTGTAATTGTGATCATCTGTTTAGAAAGGTGCAAGAAAGCATGCAGTAAGCTTTTCTTGCATTATGGCACTGCACACCAGCTATTTCCACATTGTAAAAGGAGCTGGACAACTAAAAGTGATCAACATATTGATTTTGTGTCAAAGATTCTGTGTTTCCTCAACCTCCTTATTGGTTTTGTACTGACTTATTTAATTTCTCCCATTACTTCTTGCTGACACGGTCACTGATCAGAGACTGTAGGTGGCTGACCATGGGACAGGTTTGTCTCAATAGGTTTTCAGTGCTGTATAATACTTGCTGCTCTAAAAGTGCTATTCCTATTTCATTTATACACTCTGCCTGGGAATCTAATACTATTTTAATTACTCTATGCATGTGTTTATTCTTTTGCTATTAGAAAATCTCTGCTAGACTTTAAAGTCCAGATCTTCCCTGAAGAAAATATTTCCCAGCCTGCTAGATCTTAGTGATAAAAGATCCTCTTGATATTTATTATAAAGCATACTTTTCTTTATTTTCTCTTATGGCTTCCAGACAAATATTTCTTTGGCTCCCTGCACAAATCCCTTGTCCCTCTGAGTTGCCTCCCTCTCACTTCTGCCTACCTGAACAGCATCTTCCCCTCCTTTAAGCATTTTAATCATGCTTGCTGCTTTTTAAACCATTCTCCCTGTTTGCTCACATGTTTACATGCTGAGTAGAAAAAAAACAGCATTCCAGGTAGAATCAAAAGAAACAGTGGTTTCCATATTGCTGTGCAAAGTTAATGTATTACCGCACCTTCACACGTCATGCTGCCAGCAGAAGCCACAGAGGAGCTCTCTGTGCCAGCCACATGGAGCTCTGCCATAATCGGGCTGTTGTAAGAGCTGATGGGAGGGCCAATTGCTTGTTTCAAGTGTTGACCACAAACTCATTTAGACAGGTTTTGTCTAGGAATCCAGGGATTCCTGTATTGCAATCTTCCTGGGACCAATTCTTTGCCCATTTCCCTTAGAATAAATCTGCGCGAGCAGGGGTGTTTTAACTTTGCAAATCTTTATTTTTGTTTCATTTTGGAGTGTTCAAAGCCAGACAACCCTGGTTTGCTCTTTGACAAGAGCATATGTAAACCCTGTTTTACAAAACCAACACAGGGTGCTTCTGACAGTCTTCTTCAGAAATACTAACAGAGAGCAAAAATGTAAGAGAGCAACCACAGCAAAAGGGTACTTTTCCAAACACAGGAACAGAGGCATCCTGGAAAGAAAAGAGCCTTAGTATGTGAGTAAAAAAATTCTGAATGACTATAAAGTATCTGTACTGAAATCTTATACTGAGGAAAATAACCAACACTCCAGCTGATGTACTTGCTGCTATCAAACAAGTTAATTACTGTCAAGCACAATGAGAAGTACCAAGGGACCCTTCCCAGCAGGGAGGTGATTCCCTGATAGACCTTTCCTCTCCACTTCCAACAGTAACAGCCCCCCTTTCAAGAGGGAAGGAGCTGCCATTGAGCTGACCTGTGGTGTTGGTGTGGCTATGTGGCACTGGTGTGACTGGGTGCCTTGGCAGTGCCTTTGCAAAGTCAGCTTCTGAGCAGGATGCAGTCTTAACATGTTTCTTGGACAGCAAGAGGCAAGGAGGGAGTAAATTTATATAGGGATTTTTTCACATTAAATTAGGTAACTATAATCAGATGAGCATATTTTTCCCATGCATTCTAACATAGAAGGAAAGATGGGATGTTAAATCAAAAGGCTGTGGTTACATCATACGAGCTGATAAATTTATGAACTGATAGGTACATGTTGGTAGGCCTCAGACGACTAATTGCTCATTTTTATATTTGTATGTTCAGTAAGGCATATGCAGACTGAAAGACTCGTGGATGGAAATACTCTTCTCCAGACCCAGACAAGGATTCAGTCTTTCAAGAAGAGAATACAAAGGGGAAGGCACAGCTGGACATGGAGCTGGAGTTTTGCTGCCTCTGTTTTAGCAGCTTCCTAAATTTAGGCCTCGGTTGCCTGTATAAAATGGGGGACAACGGCACGTCTGTAGCTTTTACAGGGTTTGTATAACTACATTAAGGACTATGAGATGCATAGGCAGTCTAGTAGTGGTTGGTATATACAAGGTAAACAGCCAACTCAATGGGGTAATCATTCCAGAAAATAACCTGCTGAATGGGAAATGGATACATGCAGCACTGATTCAACTGGCTGAGCTCCTCTGTGTCATTCCTTGATGGATTTACTATGCAATTGTGGTTTGTTTTCCCTTCTCCAGTCTTTCAGAAAGTTATTCCTGTTACGATGATTGAACACACACCTTACAATACAGCAACTCAAGACAGTGGATTGAAAGATTTATGTCGCTGATTCTGCAACAAATGAGTCAAGTGCCAAATATGCTTCCAATAACTTCCTGTGTTATGCTGATATAGCTGGTCAAGGGTATCTTAATGAAAGACAAGGACATCTCAGAGTCATACCTGGGCATGAGTTTGATCCACTGTGTTTCAAGTACTCGTATTTACTGCAGGGGCAGTTTGTTTCACTTGCAGCCTTACTCCTCCAACAACTGTTGAAGCAGCTTAAATAAGCAGCACGCCAGTATTTGGACATTGACCGGCTTTTTACTTGTTTGTTTAGTGAAACTGCTGCATAACTGACCCAGCAGAGTCAGGAGTTATAAACAAACTTTGACTTCAGAATGTGTGTTTAGTTCAGCTTTCACCTTGACACAAAGCCTTTGCTTTCTGGAGGAGAGGAGACATTCTCCATAGTACATCAGCACAGTGCCTACCAACTCCCCTCCAGTAAAACACCATTAGAAAAAGCCAGAAAAAAAGCCCACCCAAAACCATGGTATGCAGGGCTGGTTTTTTTAATAGTGTGTGATTAACTTACAATCTATTTTTATGTTAATTCATCTCAGCATTAGGCTTCTTCATACCCCTGTGATGTATAAAGCAACTGTGAACAGATTGGCCTATGATCTCATTTACGTCACTGTAAATCCAAAGTAACTCACTTGAAAACTGCACTTACAGCAGGTCTTCATCAGTGTCCCTAATAATTAATTTGTCCTTTACACCTGAAAGTGAAAGTCATCTTATTTGTAAGGTGTTTTTGAGGTGGAATTATTTGCTAAGGCTGTAAATATTTAAATCCACCTAAATATTCTAGAATATAAACTCAGTTCTATTAATATTTTAATCTGAACACACAACACCTACCTTTGAAAATGTAGTATACATTTTATAATCTCCAGTTTAAACTATTAAAAGCAATCCAGCTGAAGTTGGACAAGAAAATAGTTATGCTACCAATTCTGTGGCAAATAAGTGACAACTATAACTGAAAGCCCCATCAACTGTACAAAGTTAGCAGTGCCCTTCAGAAATAAGTCTTTTGGGAACTTCTAGAGGCTTCTTGTGACTTAGAGGAGCTTTCAGAAGTGAGGTGTCTGCTTGGGCAAATAGACCTCTAAAATCTTCAAAACTATATGTTTGCACTAATAAATTCATTCAGAGGCATTTTTCCTAAAGGGCTTCCCTGCAGGGGAGCTATTACACATGTTCTAGCCTGAAACTGAAGCTGGCCAGGGAATGGAAATTGTGTTTCACAGACGATTTTGAGATTTTGAAATTTGTTTTCCTTCCAATTCAGAACAAAACCTCAAAATGTTGAAATTCTCCACAAAGGAAAATTCCACAAAAAAATAAATAGTTTTGGCTTATTTAGATCATTACAACTATTAAAAATGCATATACTATACAAAATCAAAAATCTGATTGTTTTGTTCCAAAAAATTGCTCTCATTTTTTCCTCATAAAAACCCAAACCTTAGTACCTTGGTAAAAATAATAGTTTCACAAAGCTTTTTGATTGTGACAGAATGACATTTTTGAAGGAAAGCTACTCCATTAAATAATATTCCATCTGAAGTTTATTAGAGTTTCTACTACTGTGTTATCCAGACGTTTTGCTGTCATGCAAAAACTCTACAAATAGTCTAGCACCAGAGCCATGCTCTATAATGCTGAAGCTCATGGGCTTCCTATTACATGTTTGTGCCATGGCAAAACCTAGAGGTCCACACAGATGTCTCTTTTTCTCTGGTAAGGTGTGAGCAGGAAGAAAAGACCATTCTTTCTGATGAAACCTCTCAAGGTGTGAGAGAACTGGCGTCAAGTTGCTCTTGCTGCCACCAACCCCCCCTACACAAGAAATCATCTCCCTGGCAGGGGAGTAAGCAATTAAACCAGCCATCAGCATCGACACTGGCTACTTCTATTGAACAGAAATGACCCACACAAGGAAATGTGCTCCTTCTCTGTCACTAATATGGCAAAGCCCATGGTGAGCAGACTCCAGGACACTTTAACAAATAACAATGTCAACAGCCTGTATCCCAGAGCTCAAAGGGACAGTGGTGATGTGCTTTCAATGCCTCTGCTGAATTCTGGAAGACTTGTACTGTTTCAAGGTTATCTTGCCTTACTTTTCATCCATGTCAACGTATGAGCTATTTGACACCATGAACAGATGGAGGATGTATTTATAACTGAAGACAACATGAAGACGAGCTTTAGATAATAAGATAAACATCGGCCATACTGCATCAGTATGATGAATGCTTCAGTACAGCAGCAAGAAAGAGAGAAGCAA